AACCTCCAGAGGGAGCTGCCGGACCGGTTTGGACGAGGAACCGAGGCGGGGCTCCCCCTGTTCCGCCGGCCCGATGGCCACCCGATTATGCGGGAGGAGGTGCAGGGGCTCCTCCAACTCGCGGCTGCCGCCTGTGGCGTGGACGCAGGCCAGATGGGATCCCGCTCCCTGCGCATCGGGGGCGCGACGGCGTTGTACCACGCCTGTCGCGACCTGGAAGCGGTCAAGAGGTTCGGGAGGTGGTCCACGGACGCCTTCCATGGATACCTCTGGGAGGACCATCGGCGTCAGGCTCCATTCGCCCGAGGCATGGCGGAAGGTCACGCCCTACTGGCCCCGGGCGCCCGCGGTGATGACGGCGTCACGGCCAGCGCCCGCCCCGACCGGTTGGCCGGGAGCGACCCGTCCCCGTTTGGGAGCGACCTGAGGCCCTCGGAGCGCCCGGCTGGGGCGCCCGGGCGTCCCCCCTGGGCGCGCCCCTCGGCGCGAGCAGGGTCAAAAATGGAGGGGGAAGGGGAGGGGGGGCCGGTGAGATACGAGCCAGGGCGAGGAGCTAGCGGGCGTGTTGGGAAGCAGCAGGCGGGTCCTACAGGTGTTCGGTTCGGGGCGGGGGCTTCGCGTTGCGGGGGTATCCCGGTGGACCTCTCGCCCTCGAGTCCCTATTCGCCGCTGCCCCCGATCGCCCCAGGCACGCCCACCTCCTCGTGGTCCTCTCATCCGCAGCCGTCTCCCACTCCAGAGCGAGGCGCGCGAGCAGCGCGCGCGCCCCAGCCCCGCGCGCCAGCCGCGCCTCCGTCCCGCGCTTCGGCAGCGTGCATCATGGGATTCCTGGTGGGCCTGGTGGCCCCGGACCAGAGCAAGGCGCGCTGCCATGACTACAGCATCATGGCGGTGAACCCCCTCGGCGTCGTCGTCTCGGGGGCCGCGCTGTCGGTCGAGCTCCGGAGTGCCGCCCGCAACATCCTGTATACGGTGGTGGACGAGCTGGACAGCGAGGACCTCGTCGAGGTGGTCAACCACGACCACGAGGCAGCCCCGTGCATCGCGGCAGCTTGCCTGGCCGCGGGGGCGAGCGAGGGCCACGGCCAGCTGGTGCTCGTCGACGGCAAGCGGGGCGCGTGGGGAGTGGGCGCGGGGCCGAATATCAAGGTCCAGCGCCAGCCGGCCAAGCTGGCGCTCGCCTTGGCCCAGTTCCAGGGGCAGCCCATGCCGGGGCTCCGCGAGCTCTGCAAGAACAACAAGGGGCTGCTCGACATGATGCGCACGGTGGGCGCGGAGGCGGTCGTGGAGCTCACCGACGTGGAGGACGCCTCGAGCAGGGGCGAGGCGGGCTCGGCCCCAGCCCCAGTGCTCGACCCGGGCGAGGACGCCGTGACCGCGGCGCTGGCGCGAGCGGCCATCCAGGCTGCAGCGCGGCGCCAGAGCAAGGGCGCCCCAGCGGAGCGCCCTCGGCCCCCACGCTCCCCGGGGCAGGAGCGCCTCGCCGAGGAGGTCCGCAAGCGCGAGAGGCGCCCTGCGCCCTCGCGCTCGCCCTCGCGCGCGAGGCGCCGCGATCGCGAGCGCGATGAGCCTCGCGATCGCGGGCGCAGGGGGCGCGGGGAGGAGGCCGTCCTGAAGCCCAAGACGGGGGGCGCACTCTGAGGGCCGACGTCGTGAAGCGTGATGCCGTCCTGAAGCCCAAGAGCGGGGGAGCCCCGCCGCGGTCCTTCGAGGTGAAGACTGAGGTGGAGGAGACGGCGACGCCGGGCGCGGGGGACGGTCCACCCCAGCGCCAGCCGCGCTCGAGGAGCCGCCGTAGGCGCAAGGAGGATCAGCGCCAGAGCGCCCAGCAGCAGCCCAGTGACCAGCACGACGAGGGCGAGACCATCATCCGCATCGAGCGGGTGCCGCGCCACGTCGACGCCAAGGTGGTCAGGCAGGTGGTCGTGCCCTTTGGGGTCGTCAAGCACATCGCCTTCCTGTGCGACCACCGCCACAAGCGGGAGCCGTGTGTGCTCGTGGAGTTCCAGCGCCGCGCTGATGCAAAGCGCGCGCGGGAGTGCATGCGGTCGAACTATCGGTTCTACAAGACGGACCCGTGCGCGGTGGTTACGGAGTGGGCGAGCCGGCCTCGCGGCCCTGACCCAGGCAGCGACGGGGGGGATGGCCCGACCATCCAGCCGCCTGCCTGCCCGACGTGCGCTCGCAAGATGCGCTGGAGCTCCGTTGACCCGGGGGACGGTTGGGGTTGCGAGATGTGCCCCGCGGGCGGAGCTAACAGCGGAGCCCTGCGGTGGCACTGCAAGGGGTGCGACGTGAGCTACTGCGAGGCTTGCCGCGTCGCCTTCGGCAAGCCCAAGACGGTGGTGGAGAAGGCCCGGCAGAGCGGCCACACCGTGCGGGAGGCGCCGGGCCCCAGTGCCGGCCACGGAGAGCGCCCCAGCACGGGTGCCGCGGGCGCGGGGGCTGAGGGGGACCGCCCGCCGGGCGACCTCAGCTGGCCCAAGCGCGAGAGGTCGCCCAGCCGTAGCCGGCCCAAGCGCGAGAGGTCGCCCAGCCGCAGCCTGGCGCGGGGCCCAGCGTGGGGGCGGCGCGGCGACCCCCCCCCTGGCCGCGCGCGGCGTAAGACCGGGAAGCACGCTGGGCAGCTTCGCGCTCCCCGCGGCGGCTGGTACGAGCAGGAGAAAAAGCGGAGGCGTGCTGCGGCGGCCGCTGCGGAGGCCGCCGCTGGCGGGGGTGGGATCCCAGCCTGGCGTGGCAAGGGCGCAGGCGACAAGGGCGGCAAGGGCGGCAAGATCAAGGGCAAGCACTCCGGCAAGGCCGCCAAGGGCACCAAGAACGGCGGCAAGGGCGACAAGGGCGGCAAGGGCGGCCGCTCCAAGGTCGACCAGGGCAGCCGCGGTCGGAGCGAGCGTGGCAGGCCCAGCGCGGGCGGTCGCGCGTCGAGGGGCGGCGATGGTGGCAGCCCCCGGGATCGCAGTGAGCGCGGCGGAGACCGCAGCGGCGACGAGAGCCACGACCGTCAGGGGAACACGCCATCCATCTAGGCGTGGAGCACCCCACATCCCGACGCCAGCGCCCGCGGCATCGCGGGCTGCGGGCTGAAGACGGCGGCCCATCGAGGCGGACCGCTACTCGGGCCAGGCCCGTGAGTGAGAGGTTGTTTGAACTTGGCGCGCGCGTCGCGCGCTTTCTGGCCCCCTTCTTCCTGCGCGCTGCGCGGGCGGGGCCGCGCTTGCGCTCTGTGCCCGGCGCATCATGCGCCGCTTCTTTTTCTCGTTCTTTTGCGCTCTCGCGCACGCGCCGCGCCCGCGCTCTGGGTGCGCGGGGCGCGGAAGGCCTCAAGGTTGCAGGCTAGTGGCCGCGCGCGCGAGGTCCTCGCGGCCTCAGGGTCCGCCCTCGCACTTCGGGCTGGGCGTCCCCGCGCGCGCGGCTGCGCTCTCTCTTCTCGTGGCCATGCGGCCGCAGGCGTGCCAGAGCGCGAGCGCGCGGTCCGTCAGGGCCCACGCGCACGCGCCGGGCGTGAGCCGTCAGGGCCCACGCCCGGGTGGAGATGCGCGTCGCCACGCTGCCATGAGTAAAATACCCTCGCCCTGTCCTGGTCCCTCTCTCGTCCCCTCCTCTCCTCCTCCCCCTCCGTTGAGTGCGCGCGTATCTCACTTAATTTGTATAGTCTGATTGGTTGTAGACTGCAGGTTAAGTGGGAGGGGGTGTGGGCTCAGGTAGCCATTTTGGGTCCGTAGCGTTCGGCTCAGGCCGACGCGCGGGTGCCCACCCACCCCGCTTTGCTCCCAGACGCCTGCGCTGGCCATGCGGCCGCAGGCGTGCCAGAGCGCGAGCGCGTGGTCCGTCAGGGCCCACGCGCACGCGCCGGGCGTGAGCCGTCAGGGCCCACGCCCGGGTGGAGATGCGCGTCGCCACGCTGCCATGAGTAAAATACCCTCGCCCTGTCCTGGTCCCTCTCTCGTCCCCTCCTCTCCTCCTCCCCCTCCGTTGAGTGCGCGCGTATCTCACTTAACCGAAGATCGAGTTTTAGCCTGAGCTTCAACTGTTCTTCCAAAGGGGGTGTTCGCTGTGGTTGGCGCTCCGTGTGGCCCTGGCTGGCGCGCTTTGAGGGGCGAGGGCTCTGGGAAGAAGGGGGGGAAGGGCGACGGCCACGACGACGATGGGCGTGCTCGAGGAGGAGGGCCGCGGGACATGGGGGGAAGGGCGACGGCGACGACGACGACGGCGACGACGACGGCGACGACGACGACGGCGACGACGAACGGACGAGCGCCTCCCACACGCCGACGGGGTCGGCGGAGTTCTCTCCGAAGAGGTGCGCGCTCGAAGCTCGAGCTCGAACTCGAACGACCACTACCCGCCTAGAGCTAAGTCGGGCATGTCCCTCCACAGGAGGAATATTCAAAAACGGTTCAAAAATAGTCGGGGGACGACCTATCGACTGGTTTTGACTCTTCTTGAGCATTTTTTGATTTTTTGAAGCATTTTTCGTCTAAGGTCCGCCTGTGGGGGATAGGGAGGAGGAGGAGGAGGAGGAGGAGGAGGAGGAGGAGGAGGAGGAGGAGGAGGAGGAGGAGGAGGAGGAGGGAGGAGAGGAGGAGGAGGAGAGGAGGAGGAGGAGGAGGAGGCGGAGGGAGGAGGAGGAGGAGGAGGAGGAGGAGGAGGAGGCGGGGAGGAGAGGGGGGGAGGAGGGGAGGAGGAGGGGAGGGGAGGAGGAGGAGAGGAGGAGGGGAGGAGGAGGAGGAGGAGAGGAGGAGGAGGAGGAGGAGGAGGAGGCGGAGGAGGAGGAGGAGGAGGAGGAGGAGGGGAGGAGGAGGGGCGAGAAGGAGCGGGGAGGAGGAGGAGAAGGAGGAGGAGCGAGGAGGAGGAGCAAGGAGAGAGGAACGAGGGGGAGGAGGAGGAGGAGGAGGAGGAGGAGGAGGAGGAGGAGGAGGAGGAGGAGGAGGAGGAGGAGGAGGAGGAGGTGCGCGTCCGAAGCTCGAGCTCGAGCTCGAACCACCACGACCCGCCCAGAGGCGACAACCTGCCCAAGGCCGCCTCGCCCGGCGCCGGCGCGGGAGGCTCCGCCTCTCCCGCCCAGTCGCCCGGCAGGTCGCGCTCTCGTGCGCCGCCGCCGCCGCTGCCGCCGCCGCCGCCACCGCCGCCGTCGTCGTCGTCGTCGTCGTCGTCGTCGTCGTCGTCGTCGTCGCGTCGTTCGTCGCGTCGTCGTGTCGTCGTCGTCGTCGTCGTCGTCGTCGTCGTCATCGCGCCGCCGCTGTCGCCTTCGGCGAGATATCTTTTGCTCGTGGTGGCCCATGTCTGCCCCCTCCCCCCTACGCCCTTCCGCTTCCCGTTCCCCTTCCTCCTCCCCCCTCTCCACTCCTCCCCGACCCCTTCTCCGCCATCCCTCTCCTCCTCCTCCTCCTCCTCCTCCTCCTCCCCCCCCCCCCTTCTTTTTTATTGTGTTTTATTCCTTTTCGTTTTTTTTTTTCTCTTTCTTTTTTTTTTTTTTTTTCTTTTTTTTCCCTTTGGATACTTCTTTTTTCGCAATGCTTTTCTCCCTCTCCTCCTCCTCCTCCTCCTCCTCCTCCTCCTCCTCCTCCTCCTCCTCCTCCTCCTCCTCCTCCTCCTCCTCCTCCTCCCCCCGTCGTCCTTCCCAGTCATCCCCGTCCTCCCCCGTCCTCTCCCTCGCTCCCCCCCTCTCCTCGGCTTCCGCTCCCTTCCCTCTCCGCCCCTCGCCTGATTTTGCCCTCCTGCCCGGCGGCGAGGTCGTCGCGCAAGAGTGAGCGTCGCGTGACTTTTGGAGGCGAGGAGATGAAGCAGTTCGAGGCCGTCGGCAGAATGCGGAGCGTCCGCTAGGTGGCCTCCTCGTGCTCCTGCCGCCGCTGCTGCTCTGCGGCTGCTCCGTCTCGCTCCTGCTGCTGCCTGCTCCCTTCCCACCCTTCCTCTCCCACCAGGCCTCATTTCCTCCCTCGCTCCTCCTCCTCCTCCTCCTCCTACTTCTCCTCCTCTTCCTTTTCTTCCGTGGCCATGTAGGCTTACTCGCATATCCAGGCGCCGACCACAGTCAAAATCGTTTGACTATTCGATTTGATGGAACGACTCGATGGCAGCAAGAATCATCTTCTCATTTCAACAACAATGGGTTGGTTTCGGAGGTCCGCACGTCTTTCCCAGGCGGGGTTGGAACGAATGCGAGTATGTTCAGAACGTTTTTTGTTGTTGTTGTTTCCGCAGATGATGGTTTGGGTTGGGGGGCATCTGGTACTACTTCTGAGCACAATGAATTTGTTGAGGAGATGGAGCGCGTGATAGTCAGCGCATGGCAACTTACAGCACGTTCAGTGCCGAGTGCACGTGATGGTCGTCATTAGTCCTTTGTGATCGCTGACAACAGCAAGTGCCTGGAGACGATAGTGCGAGCAAATGCTACGACATTGCTCAAGAACGCCTTATTTATATTCCAAGTACATATATATGGTATAAACTTGCGTGTTTCGTGCTCCGTCAGCCTTGCTTTGGGCTAGTGCATAACACCTGGCGCGCTTCACGCGTGATGCGTCTCCTTCCACGCCGTGGTGGTTCTCTGTGTCATGCTGCGCATGGTTTGAGGGGGGGGGGGCGGACATGCGTCGCTTTGACGTTCAATATGTTTGGGGACCTTCCAAGTTACATCGAATCATCGATAATGGTTGTTGAGCGTGATGGTAAGGCTCGCTTTGAGGAGATGCCGATTGCATGTGGACGCGGTTTCTTTGCTACTGCCGCTGCGCTAGGGGGCACAGAGTCCGAGAAGCTTTCTATATTTGGCATAGTAAAAAACGCATCTGTGGGCAAGTTGCCAGTCGCTTCGGCTTCGAATCAGGCGTGGTCAACAGGTTCGCCATTCATCTCGGCATAGCTCGAGCTTCTGGTCGAGCGCGACGTCGCGACGCGCTCTTGGAGCTCGCGCCAAACAGAGTCCACGTCGCAAGCGGCATCACTTCCGCCTTCGGCAGCCAGCGCACCTCATGAGAGCCCTGCCCTCCGACAGCGACAGGCGCAGCGGCACTGTGTCCAAGACGGGTGCGCGACCTGCGCTGACGTGGCGTTGAGCTTTCGGTTGCGTCTAATTTTGGACCGCCTGAACCTGGCCGCAGTTTTTTGTCGCCAGGTCATGCCGTGCCACGGCGGCACGTCGTCAACATCGAAGAGTACTTTCGACGGAGACCCAGCCGTGCGCCCAACGGAGGGCCCCGCACTTCAATGGATGAGTATCAGATTATTACCAACCTTCGGTTGATTACTTCGGAATGTTCGACGACGGTTCAGACTTCCGGAATGATGGACCCCAATGGGTATCCCCCCAGAAAAAATTAACCGTTGTCCTTATTCCTTGTGATTCATCGCATACGCCTTGTCGACTCCGGTCGGTATTTACTTGGGCCCCGGCATGTATTTCTTCGGGATTATTGGACACCTGTCCGTTATTCTTACCAAGTAACGGACAGGGGTCATTTACTCCGTAGGAACGCGAGACCCAGTCGGTGCTCCCCTTGCAACACTGCAGCCTGGCTTGTACTGTCGTCTGAAGAATGGGCCATAGTTTATTTTTCCAAGGTCCTAGAGAGTAGTAGACCCCAAACCATCATGCACTGAGGAAACAAGACGTGACCGACAAGTCTCGATGATACTTAACTCCGTTACGTAGGTCGTCAGAAACATCAGACACCTTGTCCTTTGCTCTATGAGTATAAAGTATAATGATCCCCTGTCCACCGCTCCATGGAAATAGTGATTTGCGGTTGATTGTCCATGAGTGATTACATTCATCGCCCCCTCGCTTTTCCTCGCAGCTTTTCTCGGCGTTGGTTCCGGGTGAACGTGGCCCGCCAGACGAATAAGTCCCAGTTTGAAATTTCCGCGGGGCGACAGACTGCGGTTCATTATCCCCGAGAACATTCGACGGCGGTTGATATTTCGCGAGGACAGGACCTCGACCCGCATGTCTGTGTGCACAGAGACACCGGCGCCAGCAATTCCTCGGTACTGGCCCCAGTCCATGTTTCTCCTGGACAGATCAGCCTCTCTCCAATTCTCCGTAGGCGCAATGGACAAGATGCCATCCTTCCAGGGAGCTTGCACTCCGGTGTGAATGAGTTCTTGGGCACGACCAGCCGAGGGCGGGTGCTCCGAGGGCCCGTGCGCCCCTGGGGGTCGGCGCCCCGGCCCGTGTGGCTGCCGAGGCCTCCTCCTCCTCCTCCTCCTCCTCCTCCTCCTCCTCCCCCTCCTCCTCCTCCTCCTCCTCCTCCTCCTCCTCCTCCTCCTCCTCCTTCTCCCCCTCCTTCGTCTCCTTCTTCTCCGGAAGCACGTCTCTCTGTTCCCCGTGTTGACACATCCGCAGCGTGTGCGGGCTTGAATGATGGACCGACCGCTCGAGGCTTCCCCAGTGTTGGGCGACGAAGTCTATGCATATCCACTGCTCCCTGGCCAGGCCCACTCTGAACCCAGGATCTGTGTATACGCCCTCCTGGCCCAGCCAGGAGGGTGTGGCGTATACACTGCTGCTGGGTTCACGGTGTGCCTTGCCAGGGAGCAGTGGATATGTATAGATTCGGTCGCCCTACAGTGCAGCCCGTCGGGTTCGACGGTCAAAAAGGCTTGGAAATTCAGGCGGCCAGCCCGGAAGTGGGGCACTTAGAGCGGGGCTTGTGTCAAGGATGTTTTCGGGTTCTGTCTGGCGGGCTCGACAGATGTGCAGATCGCTGGGGACTTCTGGCAGAAGCGCATTCTCGGGTGGGAATCCCCTTTCGGCCTGTCTTGCCCCGAAAGCGCGCCAGATCGGCCGGCGTTCGCGCCTGAGTTGGCTTTTGGACGTGCCTGCTGCTGTCGCTTGCAGTTTTGCGGATGCGCTGTGTCCGCGCGGCGCCGTTGCTTCGCTGGGCGTGGTGAAGTTCGGGGGCGCCGGCGGGAGTCCGAGCGCAGGTCCCGCGCGCGTCGCGTTTTCTGATGGCTTTGGCTCAGAAAGCGTCTGCTCGCGATGGATCTGGCCGACGTGGGGGGCTTGTGCTTCCCCTTGCAGAGGGGCGCGCTGATGGCGCGGGCCCGCTTCAAGAGGTGGCCCCCCAAGCGTTGTGCGGACCGCAGAAATAAGCCAGCCTCTTAGGACTGCCCCCGAAATGTTTCTCAGGCTTGCTCCTCGAGGCGATCCGAAGATTTCGCCAGTCGGCCTGGAAGTGGGAAATTGCGCGGGGCTTTGTGCCGTGCAGGAGTGTGCGGGCCTTGACCGACAACGCGAAACATGTGTACAACGCTGAAGCCTTCTAACAACGACATTTCCTGGGGTGCTGTTTTTTTCCTTTCCCTGGTCGTCCCGAGCGCGCTCCAGATCTGTCAGCGTTCGCGCCCGACTGCGCTGCCGTGCACGAGGTCTTGATTGCGGAGCCTGCAGTCCCGCGGCGGCGTTGTGTCCGCGCGGAATGCAGCCTCGGAGCGCTGATGTAGGCCATCGCGGTGTTGGATCACATTACTTGAAAACGTGCCAGCCTTTCTCCCGTCTTGTAAGCCAACAGCTGTGAGCTCTGTGATGAGAGCTTTGCTAAGTGATGTGCTTCAGTGTTCCCGTTCTTTGGGCAAGGGAAGAAGCGGGAGAGGTTGCCGGTGTTTGTTCGCACTAGAACAATGGGCGTACTAGTTGGCATGGGTTGTGAGGAAGCACGTTTGGTCTGGAACCAGGTGCCGAACCAGCTGTCGCGTGTCCCGCCCAGGCCAACAGCGGCCCATGACGGGCTGCGAGGGCGTGCTCGTTTTTCCCCTTCGGAAGCCCCCTATGGCCGCCGCTTCGTTGCTGTTGTCTTGTCGGGCGGGCTGTTAGTTTCGTACTGATATGTCTTACGCGTTTTTTATTTTGGTTTGCTTGCGGTGCACTGCGTGGGTACAGCAGCGTCGGTAAGCGAAGTTCCGCTCCCCGCGCAGTGCTCCAACGCCCAAGGGCTGCGAGGTCCTCCAGGAACCCAGTCGGGGTATCGGGCCACACCAGCGCGTGGTCTGACCAATTGGCGCAGTGGTGCCCAGGCGTAAGGTTATGGGTCCTGTGTTTGGCCAGTTTGTTTGACCATTCGCCATTTCTGCTCGCTCGTATCCAATTTCCGTTGTCAGTTTTGAAACCCGAAATACTTTGCTGTGTGATACGTTCATAGCGCAAGAGATGGATGTCTCGATAATCGCAGATATCGGGATGAGGCCCTGTTGTTTTTGAGCGGCGCACGGTGTCTATGATCAGCCCATGTGTTTTGCTTGAAGCAGGCCCGAGTAACTCCGATCAAATCGTGATTCCTTCATTCATTCCTTCCCTTCTTTCTGGTCCCAGGAGGAGGAGGAGGAGGAGGAGGAGGAGGAGGAGGAGGAGGAGGAGGAGGACGCGGAGGAGGAGAATGAGGAGGAAGAGGAGAAGGAGGAGGATGATGATGAGGAGGAGGAGGAGGAACGCGGGACGAGGAGGACCTCCCTCCGTTTTTCCTCCTCCCCGTCCTCCTTGATGGTCTTCCTCCCCGGCCTCCCTGGTGTCCCTCTGCTCCCCGCTCCCTGCCCCCTCGCGACCCCCTCCTTGCCCTTCGCTCCCCCTCCTCCCCTCCTACCCCTGCATCTCCTTCTTCGCGTTCGTTGTCGTCTTGCTATTGCGTCCCCTTCCCTCTTACCCCCCACGTGCTTCCTCGCGTCCCCGCATCCATTTTGCACGAAGCTGGCTGGCCACCCCGAGGGCCATCAGGGGGGGGGGGCTTCGGGGCAACCGATGGACCCGCCCCCGCGGCAGGAACATCGGGGCAAGTGGCAGAAGATTGGGTACTTCTGGTCGTGTCTGGGCCACAGGTTTGGATGATGATGATGATGATGATGATGATGATGATGATGATGATGATGATTATGATTATGATGATGCTGATGCTGATGATGATGCTGATGCTGATGCTGCTGCTGATGATGATGATGATGATGACGGTGAT